AGGGTCTGGCGGTCGCCCCCAGACGGCCTGGCGTGTGCATGCTCGGGGTCACGGCACTGACTGTTCTATTGTTAGATACTGCAGCTGGTGGCAGTCTAGTCATTTCTTGCTTCCTGTTTAATAGTTTGCCACTGGAGACAGACAGAAAGAGGGACAGTGAGAAATCACCCCCAGGGAGGCCGGCCGTGCCTCCATTCTCCTCCCGGGACTTCGGACACGCGGACACACATCAGTGTGTTTTTCAAGCCGCTGGGTCCAAGACTAGAACCACAGTCAGTCATGTGGGGTCCAGCCACCTTAACCACCACACCACCAGCTGGCCTCCCTCAGGTTTCTTCACGATGGTGCAGACAGGTTTTCGTGAGCCTCCCTCGACGTGGAGAAATCGTCCCCTCCGGTCACGTGGGATTAGATGCACCCGTGTGCACCTCTGTGTCCGGATGTCCCATGGATTCAGCTGCATGGACAGTCGTTCCCACGTGGTGAACACTGACGGCCTGGCAATGGGCCCCCCGGGGTGCCAGGGCTGCCACTGCGTGCATGCGTTTTAATATCTTACGAGGTGCTATGTAAATTTTTACCTTTCTAAAATATCCGCTCTGTATTCTGTCAGTGTGGAATAATCACAGTTCTCCTCTTAATGGCTTTGCTTTTGATCCATCCTGTCCTGTAGTAACATTGTCGCGAAGCGCAGCGCGTCACCAGTAACCTTCCAAATGGAGACGGCGGGGTGGCACTGGGCCTCCCGCGGCGGGTAGTCCCAGCCCTCCCCACCCAGCTGCTTTCAGAGGGCTCGGTCCAAGGCCGCAGGGGAGGTATGAGTGGAGGTGTGGGCACACCATGAGAGCCCGTCTTCCCTGGGCGGGAGCCCTGCCCTTGCCAGCCCCTGCCCGGCCTCCTGGGTCCATCGTGGGCAGGCGAGCGCTCCCAGGGCAGAGACACCACACAGCTCTCGGAAGTGCTGGGCCTTGGCCCGCCTTCACAGCCTCACTCCAGGGCTGCTTCTCGCTCTGATTTGCAGACCCGACCCCGGTGTGTGCGTGAGCGGAGGTGTGCACCCCAGCGTGTGGGGAGGCCGCGCTGTGGGTCTGTGGGGCGTCCACACCCTCTGTGCCTGGAAGGTCCCCTGTGGGACTAAAAGGCTTCACAGGAGACACTGGGCCACTTTGTTTCCAAACGTCCCTACCCGTCCAGGCCTGGCCCTGAGAGGGCTGCTTCCCCTGCATGTGCATGGTCCCGACTGCTCTGTCTCCAGAGGAGGCAGCTTACCTGGACGTGCAGACAGAAGGGGCTCTACAGAGCCAGAGGGACTCGAGTACCCAGAGCACAGCAGCCCGGCAGCACCAAGCCAGCCGTACCCTGGCCACCTGGGGGCAGAGCTGGGGATGCTTAGAGACAGCGGCCCCGCCTCTCCCCCCCC